AGTTCTTCGCTCCGTGGTGCGGCCACTGCAAGAACCTGGCTCCCGTCTACGAGGAGCTAGCCCAGGCGTATGCCACTTCTAAGGATGTTCAGATCGCCAAGGTAGATGCCGATGCTGAGCGGGACTTGGGCAAGAAGTATGGCGTCCAGGGCTTCCCTACCCTCAAGTGGTTCGATGGCAAGAGCGACAAGCCGGTCGACTATAACGGTGGCCGAGACCTAGAGAGCTTAACCAAGTTCGTGTCGGACAACAGCGGTGTCAAGGCCAAGAAGAAGCTGGAGATGCCTAGCCAGGTCAACATGTTGACGGATGCTAGCTTCAAGGAGACTGTTGGTGGCGATAAGGATGTCTTCGTTGCATTCACCGCTCCGTGGTGCGGCCGTACGTATTATCCAATCTTAGCACTTGGTCTGCTCGTCTCGCTGACTTCTATCAGACTGCAAGGCTCTAGCTCCTACCTGGGAGACCCTTGCCGAGGACTTCATCAACGAACCCGTCGTAGTCGCCAAGGTCGATGCCGAGGCTGAGAACAGCAAGAAGACTGCCAACAACCAGGGCGTCACCTCGTACCCGACCATCAAGTTCTTCCCCAAGGGCTCTACCGAGGGCGAAGCTTACAACGGCGGCCGAACCGAGCAGGATCTCATCGAGTTCCTTAACGAGAAGACGGGCTCGCACCGTGCTGTCGGCGGCGGTCTTGACGCAACCGGTGGCACTATCGATATCCTGAACCACGTCGCCATGAAGTACGCTGCCGGCACTGAGAAGCTGGCAGGCCTCGCGGCTGAGGCTAAGACGGCCGCTGCCGGCCTCGCTGAGGACGCGCAATACAAGTACGCCCAGTACTACATCCGGGTGTTTGACAAGCTGGCGCAGAACGAGGGCTACGTCGCGAAGGAGTCGGCGCGTCTGGATGGTATCATCAAGAAGGGTGGTCTGGCTCCTGCCAAGATGGATGAGTTGCAGAGCAAGACCAACATCCTGAAGCAGTTTGCCCAGCAGGTGGCGGAGAAGGTTGCTGGTAAGGACGAGCTATAGTCTCCTGGTTGGGATCGCATCTTGAGCAGGCGTGTATGACGAATCATTCATGAAATTGATTTTGCTTGTATTGTGAAGGAGCATTATCGAGTGTCAACCAGCTTGCTCTACCGGTATTTTCCACCTCGTGTAATTAACGTGTGCCTGTAAATCCCCAACGCCATACAATATTTCGTAACCGTTCCAAACGCCTATGCCTAAGCCCAGCCATCGCTGCCATCTCTGACTACGATTTGGTTGTCTCGTTGGTGCGCTCTTCGGAGGCGCGGAGGGCTGTTTCGAGGTTATCGAGTCGTCGCGACATCTCGTCCACTACGAACAGTCAGTACTCGTCAGATGCAAGGTACCATGGTGACTGGATAGGTCTGGTCGTACTCTTGGCGAAGAGCTCTTTGGATACACCATCGAACTTGGTGGAAAGCGTGCCCAGCATGTCTTCAAGCGTCGCCGTCAACTCGTCCATGTTCTGCACTCGGTTAGCCGCAAGCTCCCAGCTGTAGATGCGCTCCCTGGCGCGACAGCGGAGCCGCTCACTTTGTTCGCGGCAGCTGTTTTGGCCTCGTCGGCCTTCTTGGCAGGCGGCATCGTGTACGATGTGGCGATCAGCAGGTCAGAGCAAAGAGGGAATTGTATGTGGTTTGGGTTCTCTTGGATTCTCTTCCAGCGCTTTTGTAGTTGAAGTTTTAGGGCGCTATGGTGCATGTAGCTATAGTATACCTTGGGTACATGTAGACACGCGTATGTGCATATCGTAGTAGCGGTGCACCAATGCCGCCTGTCCGTCATCTGTCATTCTGTTGGCTGTCTGTCCTTGTCAATGTCACGGGCCGCATCAACGATATCTCTCTCCCAACGGCAGTCATCTTAATTTATCAAGAAACGCGTATTTATTTCTCTTCCGGAGAAATTTTCTCAGAGAAGGAGGACCCAAGAATCATGTCTAGGTTCTAAACACAATGGAAACAGTTTACTACTATGCGACCGCCTCAAGATAACGCGCGCGCCTTATTTCTCATCATCTTGATATTCTGGCTTGCCACCAGTCCAGATTCGGGACCGGGCCTCATCGCGGGCCCGGCCTTGGTCAGAAACCGCATCGCGCGCCAACGACATGCCCTGGGCATTTTGAACAGCACACAATGGGGCGACTTCGCTCCACGCCTGCCTGATGATCCGCCAGAGGCCGAGCCCAAATACTTGAATCTGACCGGCTTCCGGGAAGAGGACGGGTACGTCTGGGAAGACCTCAAGCGCTTCAAGGACAGATGCGAGGAGTGGAGTACGAACGCCGTGGGGATTCCCGAGGCAGCCGAGCCCGTATGGCGCAACGCGACGGGTGTGGTGCGCGGCTTGTGGCAGCGCGTGAACACGTCCTCGCCGAGGTACCATTCCAGCTACAACCTGAGCGCCATCAGTCCCGGTGTCACGTGGGCTGGGTCCAACTCCGACTGGGGGAGAAACGTCACCGGCGCAGAAGGGAAAGTGCTGGTGCGCTTTGAGGATGACGAGAATGACGAATTTGAACCCGACAAAACTGATAAGTTGATGCTGAACAAGGCTGAGATCAAGGCTCGGCAGGTGACCGGTACTGTCAATGTCGATGACATCGAAGGCACCGGGAGCAGCTGGGAAATGCGACTCCACGGTATCCATTGGCCTCGTCAGGGAGCCATGCTTCTTACCACGACGAGCGAGAAGTTCGCAGGCATATTTGGTCTGCCTCATCTTACCGCCCGACCAGAATTCTTCGAGTCCAGCCAGGAGCTGCTCAACAGAAGTCTAGACAAGGCGCTCCTGGAGAAGGAACAGCATACATTTCCTGCTCCCATAGAGCCTTGGACTTCTACTATAGACGCGCCGAGTGACGCTTGGAACCCGTCTCCCCATTGCGAGTACGTGCTGTACGTCCAGATACACCCTCTAGACCATGATATACTGGGTGTCCAGCCTAGCCTTACCGGTCCGGAAAACGTCATCAAGGCTATACAGGATGTCGAAAATGAGCTGCGTTTTCCCCAAGGTACTGGTCACCACAGCGTGCCTCGACTTCAAATGTCAGCTGTCCTATTTTCCCCTGACTGTGGCTTCTTCCTTGAAACCAAGGGTCCACCGGCTTATGCATCAGTCGATGGACAGCATCTCATCGGCGTCAAGCAAGAGATCTTCCTCTACAGCGTTAGCACGTTTCTGCTAGGTCTTGCAGCAATCATTTTCGGACAGCTTCAACTGCTGAAGATGCAGATGCGGGAGACGTCCACCCCCTCGACGTTGGGCCGCGTGAGCTTTTACACCTGCTGCATGATGCTTCTCGCCGATGGCATGCTGTTTACCGGTGCCGCGGCGTGGAGCTTCTCGGCGTCCACCACCTTGCTACCGTCTCTTGCCGTTACATGCGTGTCGTTCTTATCAATGACTGTGGAGACATTCTTCCTGGCTGAAATTCACAAGGTACAAGAGCCTGAATGGCGACGACAGGAACGGGAGAGGGAACGACAGAATACTCCCGCAACTGCGACGAATACAGGAAACGCTGCCAATCCTCGGCAGCCCCCCGCATCTGCTACCGCACACGCCCCAACCACTCCTCCCATCATTATTCCTTCAGATCAAGACATTGATGCCGAGATCGCCGAAGCCGAAACCAATGCCACCCTCCCTGCTCCAGCCACCGCAGCAACCGCCACTCCAAGCGCTCAGAACCTCAGGACGCAGCTGAGCAACACTTTCGGCAGCCTGCTCTTCACAGGCATCTGCATCCTCTTCCTCAGCCTGGCGGCGGCGAGCTGGCGCCCGCACATCCGTGCGGCATACTTCGACACGCTCCTGTTCGGATACCTGTCGCTCTGGGTGCCGCAGATCTACCGCAACGTGCACCGCAACTGCCGGCGGGCGCTGTCGTGGCGCTTCGTGATCGGGCAGTCGGCGCTGCGGCTGCTTCCCGTCGCCTACTTCTACGGCACCCCCGGCAACTTCGCGTTCGCTGAGCCGGACCGCACGGCCCTCGCCGTACTCGCCGGCTGGCTCTGGCTCCAGATCTGGGTGCTCGCGGGCCAGTCGGTGCTGGGGCCGCGCTTCGGCCTGCCGCGCGGCTGGCTGCCCGAGGCCTGGGAGTACCACCCGGTGCTCCGCGAAGACAACATGGAGGCCGGCGGGCTGCCCATCGGGCTCGTCTCGTCGTCGTCGTCGTCGCCGAGCAGCCCGACGGGAGAGGAGAGGAAGCAGCAGCAGCAGCAGCAGCAGCGCAACACCAGCACCCACGTCATCGACTGCGCCATCTGCCGCGAGGTCCTCGAGGTGCCCGTCGTCCGCGCCGGCTCCGACGACCCGACCGCCGGCGGCGTCAGCGGCGTCCTCGCCCGCCGCGCTTACATGGTCACGCCCTGCCGCCACATCTTCCACTCCCACTGCCTCGAGGGCTGGATGCGGTTTAGGCTGCAGTGTCCGATCTGCAGGGAGGAGCTGCCGCCGTTGTGATGCGTTTCTTTTTGCTTGTAAGAGGGAGGGAATGTGCGTGTACGTCTATCTAAGATACCTAGCGATTTAGGAAATGAAGGGTTCGCAGCGATGAATATACGCGGACTTTATAAAGATGGATGACCAGTAATCAGTTCTTATCGCTCAGGCTGGTTTAGCCATGTAGACAGAAGCGGTGTCATGATATTCGAGAGTCTTCGAGAGCTTCGACTTGACGTAGAGGGATAGTGTTCTAACACCAGCAGAGTTAAGGGGAACAGTGAGATCAGAGTGCCTGAAGTAGATTTAACGCGGCTCAAATGGGAGACTTGAGCACAGCCAGTCAAGCATCTACTTTGGTATAATGACTGCACTCGAAGGAAATGGAAAGATGTCATGAAGCTATCATATCTACCCTCGGCCGACCAGTTCTACTCTGTCCATGTCCGGGTAGCTTTGACAGCACGAATTACCTTGAGAAAGAAAAAGGAGAAAAAAAAAACAGGATGTGGCAGCGGTGGGACTTGAACCCACGCGGATTGCTCCATGAGGAATCGAAGATGCTAAGGTGATCTTGAACTCATGCCGTAACCAACTCGGCCACGCTGCCCTTTGCCTCGATGGCCTTACTCCGGGAGTACCGGCTTAGAAGCCTGTGTGCTATGTTACTTGTGTATTTGGCTCTATATAGCAATATCCAACCTGGCCTATCTCTGGCAGAGCACCGAGGTAGGCACCTCCAGTCCAGAGCAAAGCACAAACATGGTCCTACACCTTAGGCGCCTGCCTGCTTCAGGTATCGCGCTTGTTCATAATTCCCTTTTACCCTAGAAAATCGTGCACGTGGGTGAAAAGCAATAAGACTAAGGAGGATGAGGATTCATTTTCTTCTTTATCAAAAGGCTCAGCTTGTCTCATCGCGGTGCCTTGGTTAGCATCCTATGCATGCCTAGGCAACCGTAAGTAGCTATACTTGACGGCCGAAACAAGACAAGAAGCTGTGAACTCCTTCACTCATAGCTTATTTCCTGATCAAGAAGGTGCTTCTACTGAATAAAGGAAGCTCACGATAGCTTCACCCAGATGCAGATGTGAAGTGGTAGCGAGAGAAGCGCGCAGACAGACAGTTACACGTGGTTCTCCAAGCCATGCAAAAACCTGCACCTAAGAACTAATAATAGCTTCGAGATAGAGATAGCATGTCGCCTGTCTTTTTAACATATAAAAAAAGGATCGCGAGGTTGAGAATAAGGCAAAAAGTTGGACGAGCAGGGAGTCGAACCCTGGACTTCTCGCATGCAAAGCGAGCACTCTACCACTGAGTTACACGCCCCTTGTATGCAACGGCACGCTTAACAATCACATAACACCAAATAACGTTCATATTGAACTAAGAAGAGCTTAGGTACGCAGGTACTTTTCGACCCCATACATGTACATTCTCCCTCATCATTTGTAACTTTCAAATTAGCACGTAACTGTCGACAAGTAGATACTTGAATAGTTGTTTTATAGAGTTCCGGTATATATAAGAATACCTAGGTAGATATCATGGGAGTCAATAATTCAAAGGTTGCCCTATTCTTTTTTAGGGATTGTGGCAGCTTACTATGTCGCCGCCTTTCTTTTTTCTTGGGTGAAGCTAATGCAGGAACAGTACAACATAACCGAACATCGGTCTTGTGCCCTCGCCGTTCCGCGTACCTAACCCGGCCTCAATCAATACAGCTTCATTATCGTCGCTATTCTACAGGAACGGAGAGGTAGCAAACATATCCCTACCGTGAAACATTCGATCCAGTCAACGAGCATGAGCGGCCCTCTGCTTATAGCTCAGAGGACCTGGTAACTCGGATGCACCGAAACATCTTAGGGCTGCGTGTGACCATCCCGCCTGGCTTGCGCATCTCGAGAAGCACAACTTTAATTACCAGTACTGGGACTCAGCCGCGATGCCTAATAGTATCCGTCAAGCCCGCGAAAAGGGGGAAGAGGGAAACAGCTTATACCAAGCGGCCTTGTCTATAGACCTTCCCGCTTCGGCCGATAGGAGGATGTTCCGAAACCGAAATTCTCCCCTTTCCCATCCGCAGGATCTCGATAGGCAGTCGAATTTCGATGCGGGCAGGTCCCTCGCTGCCTGGCACCTTGGCGAGGGGCGAGGGTCCTCGTAGGATTCCCCCGAACAGAGATACACCAGCTGCAATGCCGTTTCAAACATACAACGAAGAGGGAGTCTTTCAGGTACCGCTTTTCGCATGTACCGCGCGCACTAGGCCTCCTATCCTAGATCTAGATCTCGGCCCCCCTCGCTTCGTACCTCGGCTCTCTTGGCCAAGGCGCCGACGTAAGGACGAGGCGAAAGCCTATTCTTGTAACTGCGCGAATTCAGCGTTCTTTTTGGGCACGAACGAAGCCGGCTGCCGTGCTTAACATAGGCAGGTAGCTCCGCCTGCCGATGCAAAGCCCACTGCATGCTGCGTGCTGCATCAACAAGGGGACCAAGGATACGACAGTTAGCAGCTCTATCCTAGGATACTTGTATGGGGTGTAGCTGGAGCCGATAGGTAATATGCGCACCCCCCGTAAAGCCTCGCCAGTCCGCTGCGAAGCTACCCAAGGCAACAAACAGCTTTTCGCCCGCAGTGCCGCGTTTCGCGCAAAGTAGAGAGGTAGGCAGGCGAGCCAATGGCAAAGGTCGAGATCTGAGATCGAAATAAGGTAAGCAGACCCCGGTCTCCCGTGTACGAGCTGCGAGCTTTTTTAAACACGGCGTGTTGGGCTGCTCGCGGTACACAGCCTCCGCCGGCAGGGCTTACACATATGTATTCTTAGAATGCCCGCCTGCTCGGCTTGCACGTTCCGACCCCACAGACTTCGCATTTGACGTGCAGCTCTCTTGTGCGCCGCCAAGGCTTTCCCGGCTCCCAAAGCTGTCGCTGAATAATGGAAGTCAGCAAAGGTCAGCCTCTGGCTTCGGAGATATGACTCCTTTCTCGATGGTGGCCTCTGCTCAGAGCAACGTGGTAGAACCCCTAGGCCAGGAGGAGCGAGCTTACGTCTCAAGATTCGGGGTCCAAGCTTTCTGCGTGTGCGGCTGAGAGCTTGTCTGCCCAGGAGGCCTGGACCCTCCGCTAGAGCCAAACGGTACGGTAGTCCTCTTTTACGAGGGCACGTCCGTATCGGGACCTCTGAGACTATCACGCTCCTCAATGCGACAGTGCTGTCGGCTCCCCGTAGTAAGCAAGGCAAGCAGGCTCTCAATTATCGTAGGATATTTCAACCAGAAACATTTGCGCTTTGCGAGGTAGCAGCAGGCACCCGGCCTCGTGGACAAGAAGCGGCGAGGTCGAGCTGCGCCTCGCACCAACATGCGCATGCCTCCCTAGCACACGGGTCCCAGAGGAAGGGAACTTAGCAAGAGCTAAGGACGGCTCGTTCATGCTGAAGACCTTCAGGACCTAACGCCATCCCGACGCTTCCTTAAGTACTTGTTTCTTGGAAACTCATCAGGCCCAGAAAGAAAAAAAGAACAAAAACAAAAAGTGGACGTGCCATGTGCGGCACAAGGGAGGCTATTTTAAGACGGTGATCGCGGGCCAGCCCATGCTGCCATTGCGCCGCTGGTATTTGGTCGAGACAGGGGCGGGTTTTTGGTTAACAAGATGAAGCGTCAGCGCCATATCAATGTGGTATTCGGGCGTCTGGCAAGGAGTTCTTTTAATGTACAGGTAATAGCTCTTGAGTGCAGGGTGTTGGGATGTACGTAACAGATTGAAGGCATACGGATTACCAACTTGTCAGCAGACTAGCTTGCAAACCTGGTTTTCGGATTGGCTTGTGGCGAGTTGACGATGTCATTTCTTGACGATTAGGTATGTGGCTGGTGTTGTTGGTGACATGCAGCCGGTTAGTGAGTCGTGAATTGACGAGCGAGATTCGCGGAATTCGCAATGATCTACACTTCCTGGTTAATAGGATTGGAACCACAGTCGTGCCATCTTACGATATCGAGCCGTCGATCGTGGTTTGCATGTTCCTAGCTGAAGAGATCAGAATAAAGAAGCTGAGCCTGGATCTTCAATGATGTACATCAGCTTTGTACCTCAACGTCAGGTCAAGGGTCCTCCAGGATGCAATTTTTAGAAATGCCATCACCCGGAAGAGCCCTGGCGAGCCACGGTAGGCCTGCTAGGCCTGCTAGGCCTGCTAGGCTAAATCCAGCTTAGCCCGACTTGGAAAGAGACGGACGGCTTCTCTCGTTCTGATTGGCTATTGCCGGCTGATCCAAACGTGAGCGGATTCAGTGGGTGACGCCATAAAGCCGTCAATTCTTCGAGGGGACCAAGGGACCAGTACGTACCTACAGGCCTTGTCTGCCTCTACAGTATTCTTAGAAACCAGCCGCCTGTGCCATCTGTGCCGGCTGGGACTGATCCACGTCGAGGTTCATGTGGCGAAAAGAGTGACCAGCTAGCCAGCATCTTGCTATCCGGGAAGGCATTATCTCGCTCAAACGGAGTATGTTGCGCCACATGATTGATGGGTAGAGAGGCGAATCCCGAAGGGGGGAGGAGAGAGAAGAAGAAAACGACGCAGCGATTTCAGGCTATTAGTTGGATGGAAAATCCATCCCCAAACCGGACCCTCGGCAGAAGGCGCAGAGTAGAAACGTCTATAGTTTCCCTGTTCGCGAATGGCCAAGAAAAAGGACATGATTGATTAGATCGAAGCCGCGGTGGGCTACGCACGGATAGACTTCTGAAGCACTTTAGATCTCGAAAGACGGCTCTGATGCGATTGGTAAAGCAGATCAGACGAAGAGCCAAGCCAAACATTGTTGCGATTGGATTCTGACTCGTTTCATGAGAGTCGACGTCCTGCATGGAATCTGTCTCGATGGGGTATAGCAACCTCGGGTGTTATTGAGCAACCGTCAGATCAGTCTCTCGAAGAGAACTGTATCAAGAGCTTCATCCTCCGGCCGAGCACATGGAGAGGATCAAGCTCGGGGAAAGTAGTGCGAAGCTCTCTCTTCCTACCCTTTTCTCTACAAGGTTTGTAAAGGGGGTGATAGAATTGGTGGATAATCGGTATTCGAATCCTCGCAATGCCTCAAGACGCTCAGAGAAAGGATGCCGCAACCTCTATAAACCGGCTTTCTCATATGTGGACGAGGGGAACAAGAAGCAAGAGTCGAGTTCGAGCCTGGTACACCATCCTTCTGTCGCGATTCGCGAGGGAGTCCCGACGCTAAAGAGAACTCGAACGAGGTGTGTAAGCAAGGAGAACAGGCCTTGCAAAAGAAGAAAGGTCGTGGGAAGCCAAGAGGCCGAAATCCACGAATGGCCAATCAACCGGCAGCAAGCCCATCACCACCGTTGCAGTCAGCCTTAGTGCGGGATGCGTCTCTGGCCGCTGGTTGGTGGTTATCAGGTTATGCGAGTTTCTCGCTCTCACCCATCTCGCCCTACTTTTTTGTCACCCACATGATCACTTCTGAGAGTATTTCGGTCTTCCTTCTCGTCGTGGTCGGAGGGCATCGATCGAGTCAGTTCCGACGACAAGAGCCGGATTGGAAGGTATACGGTATATAATTCAACCACCAAG